ATATTATAATACAAAGCGAATTATTAACTTAGCATAACTTAGCGTAGACTAATATAACGACGTGAGCAAAGATTGCGACGTTAAAACATAAGGCAGAATGACGAAACGATGCGTAAAAAATCGAATTCGTTATTACTCGTTATCGACGCTTACAATTACAGTCTTAATTACTACCGTGATTATCTCGCGAGTTTCGCTTTTTTCTCTCGCCATACCGAGAGATCTTCAGAGAAACGTCTAAAGCAAGGCAGGAAATGCTGATCGAAAACGGTGTTCGGTCAACGATTACGTAACGGTGTTAAAATAATTAGTGCATATTACATAGCGCAGCGTTACACTCGTAATTAGTATGGTCATCTCGTATGGAGCAGCTAGAACGAAGCGCTGATTTAGATCAGTGCAATAATACCTTGTGTGTCTAAGGACTATAACATACGGTGTATTCGTTAGAAAACCCGAAGATATCGTCGAAGATCGAACGCGGCAAAGTAAGTTATAGAACAAAGTCGTAGAGATCGCATTCGCACAGGACAACGAAGAGAGGGCACGATATTGATTCTACTAAAGCACGAAGAACGCGCGTGGAACTGCGCCACGTCTCCCCGGACTAGGTACTTATCAATAGAATGGGACGATTTATTAAACGGTCAGAGCTAGAGCCTCCCCTTCCTTTACCGATTCAGTGTCGGACAAATGCCGACTAATTTAAAACGTTCTGCATCGTTTCCTGTTTATACCATCCCTCACGTGGCCGTGGCAAACCATCGAAACTTTACACGACACAAGGACACCGCGCGCTCTTCGTTCCCCGTTCGTCCTAAATATTACACGATATCTACGCTAAGACGGTGAATGTCACGAAATTAACCATGAATTTCAAACAAAACATTGATCTTGCGTATCAAAGGAAGAAAATACATAGGCGGAACAAAGATAAGGCTCGTCAATGAGCCTGAATGAATAGCGTCTATTTACATGTCAGAACGAAAGGACAGATTATCAGCGATTCTGCTTAACAGTAACTGGCGCGTACTTTCGCGCGTACCAACCATTCGAACCACTAAAGTGGAACGAGACGAGGAGCATCATTTGCAGCACGCACGCTGTCGAGCCCTCGAAAGTCGATAATTTGCTCGTTTAAGGATGCGTACGATGTGTACGAATCGGAGGGATAAAAAAAAACTGAACGGAACCGAGAACGGGATTGAAATAGGGAGAAGAGTTATTTCAGCGGTTACTACATCGTGGCTTGACGTTGAAAACGCGGCTTCTGACCACGCCAAAACAATGATGTACCGTTACCGAACGCGGTTCTACGCCACCACGAATAAATAAATGCAACCTACTTGAGTATCCTCCGTCATCTGTTGCATCCTGTGACCGGCTCGTAGCTTATTTATGTTAGAGAAAATATCGAAAGACACAGGAAAATGAGGAAACGAATGCGTAGAGATCTGCTGACATTTCAAAGGCTGTCTGTGCGTATTCGACTTGCATTCGAACTGTACTAAATGTGTATGCGTATAGAGGCAAATATTAATAGAAAATATAAAAGACGCTCGATATCGCGTTGTTTTTGCTATTGCCAGCACGTACCATGCGCACGGATGGGACGGCAAATAGAGCAGATCAGCGAAGAATATCTATCGAGGCTTCGTTTATTGACGCCGCATCACCGCGTGGAAAGTCACGTTCACATTATAATACGAGTACTCGTGCCTCATATAATACTCCTGACATTCATGCAACCGCTAACGGGGTCGGATGGTAATTTCGGATTATGATTTAATTGTGTATAATTCTGCATTCGTTACCGCTAATTAGGAAGAACAAATTTGATCAATCAGATCGCTGGACCGTGATTTAAACTTAGACGGTCTATTCGCTAATTAACTATTCCCTCGATTAGGTTATTGCAGGTCGTGGATGAATTGAATATTACAAGAAAGGATACATCGATGAGTACATTTTTGTTCATTTCCTGATCTTAATAACGCTATGTAGAGATTTTAATACGGCATAATTGCAGATGGAAACAAGCTATTAACTATATTTTAAAAATAGCTGATTAACATTATGGTGAGATACATTTTTAAAATTCTGAATTTTGGTAACATAATGTACAATATACTGAATTTTAAAAGTTCCCTATGAAAAATAAGAACTTCTCCTGTAGTCACCGATTTAAAAAACTAAGATATTTGTGTCATGACAAATTTTAAAATGGATAAAGTTAAATATTCTAATATCTTCCTCCGAGCCGGAAAAAGATAATTTACGTGGCGATTATTAACCAGGCTATTAGTAAAATTGAGAACGCTACCGACTCATAAACCCGACGACCTTATTTTCGAACTATTCGCTCGCGGTTCGTAGACCTTCCTACGCAATATACGAACATAAATGAATACTTGGTATCACGTGCAGATGAACACCGAGAACAATTTGGAAAACCTACGTTATTAGAGTAACTAACGTTCGGTTTCCAATAAAACCGGAAACATGTGCATTCGTAAACTAGCATTGAATAAACAACACCCGTTAAAATTCCCACCAAGACTATGTACGTATCTAACGTCAGCTGACCGATACGATCCAACGATAGGGTTTTAGATTTAATAAAGATACGTGTAAAGCGGATAATTAAAATTGTTTCATATACAAATAGAATCTTAATTTGAATTCAAATATTTTCTTTCCAAGCTCTAAGATTAACTGTCAGTATATCTGGATTTGAATATTGCATTATACATGGCCTCGTTAAGAAACTTAAAAAATACAAAAGAATAATGGCATCAAGCATATAATACATATTTCAAAAAATCAACAGTAAATACATAACCAGAGCACGCGTGACTCGCTAGGAAAATTGAAACGGCACACGAGTAAAATACTTAGCGAGAATATTGATCCGTTAGTCTGCATAAGATCGTTATCATCGCGATATTTCTGGAATATCAGTGAAACGAACAACGACAAAGAAGTAGCCGAATGGATTTAGCGGATATTAAACGGAAAAATATTGCGAGGAACGGAGGAACAGAGTCACGCGAGCTCTGGGAGCGCCACATCTTAGAATTTACGCCGAAATTAATTGTTCGCCGATATCCTTGGTCTTCGCCAAGATGTACGCTAGAACTGATCCATATTAAAAGCACAACCGAGGAGAGACGTCCAGAAGAAAATTCTAATAAAGACGCATGGGAACTGGTTCGACGAGCACCGAGGCACACGGGTGCAGGACTAGCCGCATAATACCGCGACGCATGTAACAGTTAATCGCATTATGTAGCAGAGACGAGCAGAAATCACGATTGATCACTGTGCGAGGCTAATCGCGCCGGTTGATCGTTCTACTCTATGATCCGTATACGATTTATGTTTAAAAGTATCGTTCCCACGAAAAAAGAAAGAATTACCCATTGAAGAATAGAGAAACAACGATCGATATACGGTGGAAGCCAATGGAATGCCGATAAACAATAATCACGTATCGAGCAAACGACTGGTTCGCTAATTTACATATACATACATTCACAAATGACACTATTAAACACGCACTAGTCTGATAAACATACACTAGACCGAAGAAACGAAGATTAAGAATAAAACGGTTATTGCTCTATATACAGTAGTAGATTGCTAAATTGTCGAAAGATACACCACGTGTTACTATACACAGTAATTTTCCCCGATATCAAAACAAAGCTAAGAACTATCTCAATGTGCGCGTAATTATCGCACTCTTATCAAAGTTGGGAACAAGAAAATGTGCAAATCAAACAGTATGTAAACGTCGGCGATACATCAAGTGTCACGTAACGGCAATCGATCATAGAGATATTTCTGTCAAAGAAAAATTTATAGTGACATCGTGCATTTATTGCTAGCCGATTACGATCTAACCACGTTGCGCCTTCGAAACCATTGGAACGTTCGCTTCCCGTTGCTGATGTTCCCAAATACCGAGATTGAAAACCTAACCCATGGACAACACGCGCACGCTAGAGAATCGGTAGGTGTTATAGACGAATCAACCGGCAATAAATTCGCGGTAAGAGATAACGGTAATCTCGAGTGAGATTACTTCAACGACGGTGCGAATTGCAAGGCCGTCGGCGTATGACCTTAATGAGTAACAAGCATAGCGCTTAGGCGGACACACGAGAACGAGCACGGTATTCTGTCTGCTCGCACGTACTGAACACTGTACAAAGGGTATCGTGCAACCGAATGTGCACGTAGCCTGTCAAAAAGTGGCATGTTTGGCTCCGGTTGAACGTGACGTCGCGTTGACACACACGTTCCTGTCAACGTAACCTAGGTTAACTATCCGTGAATAACGTGAATATCGTGAGAGACACGGGAAACAGGCCCGATTCGTTAGTATATTCACGTCGATTTTCGCGATCATTCCTCCTGAACACCGTGCGTGCAGATGGCGTGATTTTTATCGCAACTACGGATCATATCGTCTGTCCGAGATCACCGACACGTTCGCCGTGTATCGAGCTTTTATTCTAAACGGTGATCACAAAAAATAAATCGTGCAACTGTAATAAATACCTCGCTTTTCGACGAGCTCCGAAATCTCCTCCTTGTTGTCGGCCATCTTAGCACCAGTCACTATTCACAATGCACGCTGGGTAAAAACAAACGAGCACCACCACGACACCGCGATTGGTGGTTCAGCGCCACCTGTACGCCGAATTAGAAGTCAGTCAGCCGATGACGTTGGTCAGGAACGTATCACATCTAAGGCAGTAGAGGTTCCGATATAGATCAAATAAAGTGCTCGTTCAAATAGCGAAGTAAAACATAATAAAATAATTAATCTGATAATTGATTGCAACTTGATTGCAGTAATACTAATTTTCATCGTCATATTAATTTGAAAGTATCAAAAACCATTCATCGAGACGCGGATCTACCTAAAAATGTGCCTACATTTCGATTGACACACTTTCAATAAGCCGTTACTGGCATATATTACTATATAATACTTCTTCTAACTTATTTCCGTTATACTGGATCGTGGCGGTAGTCTTCGTTCAGTTCTTCGCAGGTTCACACGTATTTTTTAATAAGTTTTCAACATGAGCAATAGCGACGTTGTAATAATATCGGCGGTCAGAACACCTATAGGTATAAATTTATTCCTTACAAGTTTAAATGATATAACGGTTGAAAATAATAACATTTATTCTATATTATACTAATAAGTCAGTTTAAATGTCATTATACACTAAAATTTTCAATTCGCAATAATTTTTGTTATACGTAATAAAAGCGTGTTTTATTAAAAAAGCACATCACTTACTGTTTTCTTGCTATTTTAGTTATGTTCTAACAAATTAGATATCTTTTCATTTAAAAATACATCTGCACATTCGTGACAAAATTATTCATATCATTTTTCTTAAATAATATTGATCTAAAATGCAAAAGTTGTATACAAATCATAAGCATATTATTATGCTATTGCTAATTTCCATATTCTGCTTATTTTCATCCCTATATCACTACTTTTATATTGCTTTTATTTCTGTATTTTATTCTTATTGCCTCTACCATCTAACATAAAATCATTAGAACTTTAATCAATTAGATTAATATAGATTAGATAATAGATTAAATAATATAGATTAATATAGATCTTATTATTTTATAAAATACTTCATCATTTTTAGGATCGTTCTGTGGTTCTTTATCATCATTGAAAGCATCAGATCTAGGAAGTATAGTTATTAAAGAAAGTCTTGAAAGAGCTCATATTAAACCTGTGGATGTTTCTGAAGTAATACTAGGACAGGTAATCTATATTAATAATTAACTTCGATGTTTATATGCACTAATTATTTTAAATTATTCAATATGTAAGTATTTTTTGTCAAACATTAATCAAATACTAATTCCTAAATCTACAAAAAAACCTGTGATAATATATAAGATAATATATATATAATTCTTCTTGATATATTAATAGCTGAACATAAACATAATAAAATTAATTATTTTAAAATATACGTAAGACTTCATTGTACAGGTATTGACTGCAGGTCAAGGACAAAATCCAGCAAGACAAGCAGCAATGAAAGCTGGTCTTCCTATATCTGTACCTGCTTACCTAATTAATATGCTATGTGGTTCAGGTTTAAAGTAAATACAGTTTTGCAATTCAAATCTTATTTAGTTGTACAATATCATGCATGTTATTACTTCATGACCACAATTTTTTTAAAAAATCTTGATCTTCTCTTAGTCACGTTACATCATGCATACCATTACTTTATATAATGTTGTCATACTAAAAGTAGTACTTTAATGAAGTTCTTATAATTTTTAACTTATTCCATATGTTGCAATATGTCCAATTGCAATATCTCCTGAATAAATTTTACAAAAAAACACATGTCTTTAGAGCAATCTTGAATGGTTACTTATCTATAAAAGCTGGAGAGAACCAAATAGTTGTAGCTGGTGGTCAAGAAAGTATGAGTCAATCTTGCCATGCATTATACCTTAGAAAAGGTGTAAAACTTGGAGATTGTAATTTAATAGACACTTTATTAATCGATGGCTTGATAGATGCATTTCATGGAATTCACATGGGAGTAACAGGTATAGATTGTAATTGATACATCTCTATCATATAAAAATTATTGTATTACGATTGTATAATTTTGTGAATATATATATGTACAGCTGAAAATATTTCTAAAGACTACACTGTAAGTAGAAAAGAACAGGATGAGTATGCAGCTAAATCTCAACAGAAGGTAGAAGCTGCAATTACTGCAGGCTATTTTTCCAAGGAAATCATTCCTATAACTGTACCTACTAGAAAAGAACCTATTATTGTAGATAAAGATGAATACCCTAAGTTTGGAACAACTGTAGAAAGTCTTCAAAAATTAAAACCTGCATTTCTGGAAGTATGACTAATTACATATTTTTTTTCGTAAATTGAAATACTTCGTTGTATAATAATTATACATTGTCAGGCTAAAGGTACAGTTACAGCTGGTAATGCTTCTGGCATCAATGATGGAGCAGCAGCAGTAGTTCTTATGTCTGCGGATACTGCTATACAAAAAGGACTTTCCCCATTAGCTAAAATTGTTGCAGTAGCTGAAGCTGGAGTGGAACCAAGAGTTATGGGCATAGGTCCTGTGCCAGCAGTTGAGTTAGTGGTTAGTAGATAAAGTTTAGTTACGATATGTAAATTCATGTAATGAAAGAGATGAATATTTTAGTTACAAAAAGCAAAGTGGACAAAAGAAGAAGTAGATTTATATGAATTAAATGAAGCTTTTGCAGCGCAAGCGATAGCTTGTGTAAAAACTCTTGGTTTAAATCCAAACAAAGTTAATATAAACGGTGGAGCTATTGCTTTAGGGCATCCTATTGGTGCATCTGGTATGACAGCAAAATCATAATAATCGAAAATATTATATACTTGTAGTATTCTTGTTAATCTATGTTCTGTTACAGGTGCTAGAGTATTAGTAACTCTATTGCATTCTTTAGAAAGAATTGGTGGAAACAAAGGTGTTGCAGCCTTATGTATTGGTGGAGGAATGGGAATAGCAATCGCTGTTCAAAGAAAATAACAAATACTTTATCCAAATGGGTATTACATTTCATTAATACTTGTGTATTATTATTTTGCAACAAAATACTATGTGGGTGTGTCACATGATATTTTTATTATCTTCTTGGATTATTATGATGAAATATTGCTTTTATCACACATTTATTAAATCATTAAAAGTTTATATATTATTACAACAAATATTAATTAATATTATTCTAAAAAATATACAAGGCCATAATAGGAAGTTGAGAACATGCTTTTATAATACTATTTATTTTGTATCATTATAATAAGGTGTTGACTAATATAATTAAATAGATTTACTTTGTCTATATTTACTTATATATCAGTTACTGGCAACTGTACTTACAATTTGTATAAAACAATCATTTTTATGCTAAACTTGTACACTATATTATGCAATGTAGGTTTATATAGAAGTTATTTTCGTAAATGGAAAATGTAATTGTTAATAAAAATATAAAATTATTAATTTGTTATTAATTAGTTTTGTTTTTGTTCAATCTCTGCTCTGCCTTTTTTCTATCTTCTAAAATTTTTTCCACTGCTGCTAGCCCCTCTCGGTGTTTTTGTTCAGTATGTTTTGATTTAAATGTACGTTTAGTATGTGCTACATCCCTTGTATGCACTAGCAAATGTTGCAATTGTTCCTTGATAGCTGGTATAATACGTATCTTGAATTAAGAATATATTATAAATATGATACTAATATGTTATAGCATGCAAGTTAACATAAAACTACGAAACTTCTGTTTGGGGGATAATAAATTGGGGATAAATTTTTGAATTTAAAACGTAGATATACTAAGCGGTACTGCAGGATAATATCCATCATATTTCTTTCCATCTTTATAAAAACATAAGTAAGATTCTTCTAATGGCTGTTGAGCTATTAAATCTATATCAGGTATGCAAAGTTTTGAGTATTTTTTTATAACATGTCCCCATAATGAGTCCATATTAATGTTAGGATCTTTCAAACAAAAATAAGAGCCCCAAAATGTTGAATTTAATACTTTTTCATGGGGATGTGATAAGTTTTGATAAACCATTCCCTCAGACATTTGTTCCTCAATTACAGCTACTGTATCACATTGTACATATGAATTTGGTACATAAATATCTTGCAAAAGATTATCACCAATATATACATAACGAGGATTTTGTTTTCCAGATACATTTTTAAGGAATTCAGTAAGTCCTTCCCAATTACCTTGACTATATATACCACCTCGTTTTAAATCTTTACTTTCTATGATATTATTACCTTCTTCATTATTTACAATATCAAGAAAAGGACGTTTTTCAATGAAAAAAGCAGGTTTCTTTGCATAACAAATTACAATATCAAATAGAGATTTCCAATCTTCTCCAAGAGAATAAGTAGCACTAAAATCAACAAAATCAACATTTGATCCAGTGATAAGGAAAGTAATACGATGTCTTTTTAATTCTTGAAGCCATGTTATAGTTCTTGCAGTACATTTATGCATATATTTTTGAGGATTCTCTCTGAGGCTAGGAAAAAAGTACCCTCTGTTCATTTTAAGATGATCTCTGTTAAACATTTCAATCAATCCATCCAACATATTAGGCCAAACATTATATGCATTCAAAGGTCCTCCTTGTTCTTCATCAAGTGTATCTATCAATCTTGCAAAAATAAGAGATGAAGAAACATCAAAATAATCTAACAAACTTCTCATTTTCATTGATAAAGGACCGTTCCAGGTGGATAACATGTCATTACAAAAAGCATCTGTAGTCTCCCATCTCTGCCCAGGGTATATCTTCTTGATTTCTTCAGTACTTAATAGATTACTTCCATGGCATGCTCTTTGAATTATACCATCAGCATTTATTCTAAGTATATTTCCTCTTTCAAAATCTAAGAATAATCCTTTTTGCATAAAATCTAAATCTTTATCTTCTAATGGCTTTAACAAATATTTGGAGTTGTACCCCTTTTCTGTAACTAAATAATTGGCTAAAGTTTCATATGTCAAGTGTACCATGTTTGTCACATTATAACGCAAAAGTGTATTGTCTAAATCAAATCCAATACAGTCATAATCAAGGAACTTAAATGCACTCATGTTGACTTGTGTTGATGGACTAATTGAAGCTGTTGTAGAATAATATTTCAAATTTATATGAGCCCGAATATGTGTGAAAAATTTTAATTTGTCACCAGTGTTATACCACAAAATACTTTGCACTTGTGAATGAGATGCTAATGATTTGTAAAGCAGATGCCAAGATTTTATCATTTCTCTTATTTGATTGTATGTATATGTTCATATACAACTAAAGCACTTAACACATACTACATACACGACACATATCCATTTTTATTAGTAAAGAAACAATGTTTACACAAAGATAAAATCATTCTAAATTTATACTTTAACTTTCCGTCATCTGATATACAAGCAACCTATAACTTCAAAAGTACCTAGACAACACAATAATAATATACATAAACGCAACAACAAAGTGATACCTATTTTTTTGTAATACTCATCCCGTAAGACATTTTATGTAAAACTTTCATACAATAACAAGTTTAATGAATTTAACAGAGCATATTTTAAATAATGCACAACGTACAATATACATTCGACAATTGCAATAAAATAAAGTTGACTCGTATTCATTTACAATATCATTATCAAATATTAAATATCATGTACTACAATTAAACTAAAATGTTATAGTAGGACTTATATTTTAAAATTACTTACTTTTGGTGGAATATGAACGAACCGGATATTTCTTGCTTGCACAAAGAACATGTCGTAACTGTACGAGTCTCCCCTAGGGTCTGTGAAGATGCAATCTCTCATTACGATATTCATGTAACTGCAAAAAGGCAAAAAATTTAAATAGTCCTAGGTCAATAATGATAACATGTAACGGAAAATTACTCACGCATCTGTGTGCTCTACAATTCCATAAACTGATGCTTCATTTCGAAGATCTATTGTCGTACGTTCATTTTGGACTGCTTTTAATAAAATGGCTAAGGTATTAAAATAGAAATACCGTTCTTCTTTTGAATCAGGAGCCATAATGCCATACAAGTACAAACATAATAATATCAATCTAATAATATACGCCGGCAGATATTTAGTAGAGTATGTGTTACAAGAAATATTTATACGTGTTACAAGTGTAGCCAACTCTATAAATATAACCAAAAGGAACGATGCCTTTTGAACACAGTTAACGAAAAAACGATTAAATAATCGAGAAATCATTTAAATTTCAATATTTATTGTTCCAAACGAATACATAATGAAGTACATAAGTGCATAACTTACTACATACTTTGTGAACTTTATATACATACACATATGTAGGTAAACATATAGTATCGTAACTATAAGTGACGTGAGTCAGTAATATAGATAGGTTTAATTATTTATCGTAAAGACAAGCTTTTCTTACAAATGGTCCATCATGTATTCTTCTATGACCATTAGGACATTGATCAGGTAGTAATACTGAGTTTATCTCGTGTGCAACTCCAGCTTTATTCAAAATGTTGCTCTTTACAAGAGTTGCATCATTTACCTGGAAGGGAAAATTATATTTTGTAAGGCGCTCATTTTATTATTTTTGTTAAATCACTAAAAAACTATGTCCTTACCAAAATTCTGTTATTTTTTCTCATAATATTTATCGGGTTTCCTTTAGTTCTGACGGTATACTGTAAATCTGGCATGAAGCTTTCAGCAAGTAACATATTATCCACGATATGATTTTGTAGTGTCTGAAAGTGAACAACGAAAAACATTTTTAATTGAATCAATCAATTTGTTCATAAAAATAGTATTACCTTTGTTAGATAGTTTCTGTCTTCCAATAATTTTTGAAGTTTGGCATTTCCTAACTGTTTAAATGCTTTATCCGAAGGAACGAAATATGTACACGAAGAATTCGCGCGCTTAAATTGGTCATACATTTGTGGTTGAATGCCTTTAATTCTTTCCATAGCGTCTAACCAAATACTGTAACAATTTTCCATTTATATTTCTCAGAGTCTTGGAATTTTCGTGTACAGGAAAAGAATTACCTGAAATTGCCTTCTTTTCTCAAAATATAATCTAAAGATTCTTCTGCTGGATGTAAAATGTGACTTATAATGTGTAAAACGCCATTGCTGCATTCTCTATCAGCTTTCATAATTAATGCGTTTTCTATTCCAAAATTACCACGATAAACTTGGAAGCGTAATGGAACTCCTATTTCAAGCGTTCTAGCGATCTATAATGAATTATAATCTTTAAAAGTTATTGAGGAATATATTGAAATATTCAATTTTACACTTAACTTACTTGATTGCTACTAATCTCATCGGTGAAATACGTTCCCGTAACTATATGATTAAGAACAAAGTTCCGAGCACTCTTTTGATTTCTTTGCAATTCTACAAGTTTCTGATTTGATAAAGCTATAAAAGAGCATCTTATATTAAGAAACAAAATACGTTTGTCTAGTTTTGTCAAGAATAAAGATCGAATATACATACAATACATTGCTGTCTCAGAGGGAGCAAACATTGTGAAGTGTTTCAAATGTCTCAAACTTTCTTCCAATTCAGCTGTTTTAATTATTTCTAAAAATTTAAATAATCCTTCCTCCTTGATCACATCCAAGATAGTTTTAGCTGCAATATGTTATATTCGCAATGAAAGATTCTTAGAAGATCTTCTTAAATGCCATTCAAGTAAAAATTATTTACCTCGATCCGGAAGTAACACACGATCAACAACGTAAAGTAATCCATTTTTTCCATGATACATTTCATTCCTTATATTTGCATCGTCTACGATGGGTCCATACGGACCGCAATTTAATTTTAGTCCTTGTCGTTGCATCGTGCTTGCATGATATTCCGAAATTATATTTGGCACGCATACAGGATGCGTTACGATATGATGAGCAATTAATGCTAAACGAAACAATATATTATACAGAAGAGAAAACTTACATAAATGTATTCGGCACAATTCAATTACCATTTAATGCTGTCGGATTTTCCAACATATCGGTCAATTGTCTTTTAGGAATATGATGAAAAGCTTGATCCGTGGGTGCAAAAATAGTACAGGGTACTTCACTGAATCTAATTCTATTTCCTAACTCGCTATTTTTAAGAGCTTTTGTAAATATTTCGAATCTACCGTCCCTAGAAGCGAGATCGATTATGTCCGAATTTTGTGCCAAAGCAAGATCCAAAACTCCGTCGATAACATGCACAACTCCATTAGTGGCAACTTGATCCTTGCGAATAA